CCTACTGCGGGTGGTGCACGATGGAGACCAGGTAGGACCAGCCGTGTCCTGGTGTGCTTCTGTATGTCCTTTGGCCCTCAAGTCTGGGCAGGAATTTCTGGTGTCTTTTGTATTTCCTCGCAGTCACGCTGCCCTAAGTCTTTGTCCATTCCTTATGAAATGCATGCTGTTAAAAACAATTGCATCTGGCCCCAAGGGTTGGGATGCTCTTCAGAGCCAGGACTTCACTGTAGCTGCATTGTCACACTGCAGGCCTGTGCAGAGAATCTCTTGCCAGCATCCAACTGTGGGACTGGGAGAGCCCACACCCTGTGAAAGACCAGCTTTTGCCCCTGCAGTTCTCATCTATGAGTAAAAGGCAATCACGCCTTAGATTAGATTCCACGTTTGCAAACTGAAGGTGTTGGACAGAATGTCACCTCCTCTTCCTCAGTCTGGGTTAAGCCTGGCCTTCTCCTGCCTCCCTCAATCCTGGTGCTCCGCTGGTGCTGTGGGAGTGTGTGCTCTTATCGTGGCAAGCAGACACTTTAAATATAGCAGCAAACATCGAGGCTTAGCTGCATGGATGGAGAAAAAAGATACAGACACGGGATTTTCTCAGGATCTTCCCTCACAAGGAATTCAACATTTTTATCACCTATTTTAAAACTCATCAACCATCAGCTGTTCCCCTGTTTGTTGCAGGTGTTCTTTGCAGCATGAGTGCACCAACTCCACAGGGGCCAACTTCTGGGCGAGTGTGAGTGAAGGAGTGCAGCAGTGCCCCTCCATGACCATCCTGGAGCCTGAGATCAATATTGACAAAGAGAACCCGGTGCGTTTGAAGCCAATAATCAATCAATCAATCCCCTGCAGCGTCCGTAGAGCCGTTCCCTGCTCTCGGGGCGGGTAACTTCCCATCTCTTGCAGCAGAGAGTGTGGCTCTGCAAGGCTCACACGGGGGTCAGGAGGATGCTCTGCTGAGCTGCTGTGTCAGGCCAAGGCTCTCAGAGGGCTGGGGGTGACCTCCTGCTCCCTCGAGCTGGCTGGATGCCTGTAGGCAAACAGGACCTAGAGCTGTTGCACCAAACGCACAAGGGGGGCTAGCAGAATTTCAAACACAGATGATCAGCTGCAGATGGCTGAGTCAACTCGTTTTCTGGTTTTGTATTGTTGCTATTTTTAGCTATTTTAGTTATATTTTTAATGTTTTCATCAAAAAAAATTTTTTGTTTAAAGACAGACCCTGTCTTTGCGTTTGTTTTGGAGTTGTCTACCTCTGAAAAGCATCTAAAAAGTTGAAAAATTCTAAATGTAATTTTCTGACATAGTAACTGATTTTTTTGTCTAATATAGGCCCTGATAATACAAATAAATGGAACTATCCCAAACCTGAATGGAACAAATATTTCATGTGACTATGGAAACAACATCCACACGGTAGCCAGAGTTGCTGGAGATTACGTAAACCAATTTATTTATTGCAGTTTGCTTCCACGTGAGAAATATCCAGCATTTCCTGATGACCAAGGTATGTAGAGGCAAGCAAACTGGGTTCCTTTTAACCACTTTTGTGGACATAATTTTTAATGGACTTTATTTCTTTTTCCATTTGTATATGCAGATATTGCATACAGGAAAGAAAAGCCCAAAGCTGCTTCTATTTTACAAGGCATATGACTCTGAAGTGTAGGAGTTCCACCATCTTTACACAAAATGACAGTATTTCAAATCTATCAATTTTTGCATTAAACATCAGAATTTAAATGCCAGTTAATGGGCTTACTTCTATCTGATTTGAGTTTTTGATTTAGTAAGTACTAAGCCAAAAATGTTTTGGCCTTGGGCAAATACTGTTGCTTCCTATATTGATATTTCCAATTGCTTTGTTTAATTTCTCTCTGCAACACGTGCTGCCTTTCAGGAGAAGCTCTGGAAAAAGAGCAAGTGGGTACCTAAAAGGAGTCAGGAACTCTTATTCCCCTTTTTGAAATGAAAAGCCAGATGGAGGTTTCCAGTGTCCCCTGGTTTCTGGTGGTACCAAAGGGGATACCTGTCTCAAGTCTCCACGGAGCTGCCTGCGGAGGGGCAAGCGGATGAAGGATGTGGATGAAGTTGAAGTAGGCTGAGCTGATGGCTGAGCTGACAGATCTGAGACCAGCCCCTTAGCAATGGAGTCGGCCCCTCTCATAGTGCCTTCAGAGAAGTTCAGTGCTTCATTCCAGACTTGAGTGCTTGTTACATTTTCATCCTTCGGGCCTGGACTGAATGCGCTATTGAAGATGGCTGACTTCAGTAGAGAGAGAATGAGACAGTCCTTTTGAAAATCCCACTTTTCCTAGGCCCATTTGTAAAGCTGCGTTGTTTTTCTCCCCAGCTATCCAAAGAATGGGAGATCATTAACTGCTCTATATTGTTGGTTACAGCAATGTCCAAATGAATTTCTGGAATCCAGTGTGCTGATTTATTGTCCATATTCTGAAAGAGGCATTGTCTCTTCTCCCTGGTGCTTATATGGCAAAATGGCAAAGAAAAAAAATTAAGCAATTTCGGGGGGAGGGAAGGTAGTATGGCATCTTGAGCAGCCAAAAAAGGGATTTCCACTTTCCTCTGAGTGTTTGTTGTCATGGGGAAAGTGAGCAGGGTTTTAAAACATGATAACTAACATGTTTAAATTACCACATTTTTTAAAAATATAATTTAGCACCAACTGTACATGAAGACAGTTATTAACTCTGCTAATTAACACTTGCACAACACGCTGGAATTTTGTGCTGAAAGTCACAATGTTGTTTCCTGTGAGGGTGGTGTAAAGCACTGATTTAGGAAAGAAGAGCTGAAAATCAGAGGACAAAAAATGACTGGTCCAAGCTCTGAAATGCAGCTCGGAGGAAGCCCTAGGGAAAACAAAGGAGATATAGCCCTTGTTTTCCCAAGGGTCTGTCTTGTCTCCTGTTTTGTTGTGAAGTGTGAGTGAGAGACTCTTGCAACCCAATATTCTTTGGCTTGATTCTCTCAGACCATGTGGTTGTTGAAACTGCTCTCCGAGTCAACAGCAAAAACATTATCCAGGCCAATTTCACCATCTATGATTGCAAAAGGACTGGAAACATTTACCCAAAGAGAGCGTAAGTGACCCCGGTGTGCAGGCAGCGGGGCCCCACAGGCAGGTGGTGGCAGGGCATGGGTGGCACCGGGGCGATGGAGGCAGCTGGGGTGGTTTGGAGAGGGGTGGGTGCCAGCACACAGCTGGACGAGTCTCCCTGTGTGGGGTTAACGGCAGAGCACAGCCCCTGCCAGTGGGTGGCTGGGGGCCTGGGCAGGATTTGGCAGAATTTTGGGGGATGCAATACCAGGGATTTTCAGAGGAGGGTCCTCACACCGTCTCAAGCCATCTGGACATGCTGGGTTTCTTTTAAATATGAATAATATTTTTATATAAAGCTTGTTCTGTTAACCCTTCATCATCAGAACCAGCCTCCCCAGTGATCCTTGGGAGCATCTGTGGGGCACTGGGGAAGGGAAGGACAATCTCTTTTGCCCCTTCTAGCCCTGGGTGGGGGCAACCACATACCCCCATCGTCAGGATGGGCTGGAGGGGGACTCTGGTGCCACCTACCAAAATTCATCCACCTCTCAGGAGTGTAACAGCAGGGCCAGACTGCAGGGACCCTGGTCCTGCCTGCTGGCATTTCCATGCCTGTGCAAACAGGAGAACCTTCATCAGGCTTTGACTTCCCTGGCTCCCTGGGGAGATGGATGGAGGGAAGGAGTGCTTTTGGCAGAAAAGCACTTTACGCTCAGCAGGGGAGAGTGGCTCCTGGCCTGCTGTGGCCTGGAGCAGGGAGATGATGTCTGGGGGTGATGGGCTCTGCCTACATCCCCTGCCGGCTCCCAGGGAGAGGAGGACAGGGAAATTAAGGACCTGTCATGGGTTTTTTGGGGCACCATTGTAGACTGAACTGTGTGAAGACGCGTTGCAGGGCCTAGGTGTGGCTTCTCTGAGCAGCTTAAACTCTGCTTTTCTCACCATGCCTTTGCCATTCCAGGTGCACCAGCTGCCTCTCAGCCAGGTGGAAGTGTCATTGGTGCCCCTCCACCTACACCTGCGTCTCCAACCACTCGCAGTGTGTCAGCGCGCTGCAGATGAAGGTGAGGCCCATTTAACTGCTGCTCGGGCTCTGAGCCTCCTCCATCAGCAGCCACCACTTGCTGACCACAGCTTGTGCCCAGCTGGAGCTGGGGCACCCTCCTCACGTGGTGTGCAGGCAGTGAAGCTGCAGCTGCACTGTGCTGTGCTGAGGTGTGTGTGGGAGGAAGCTGGCACACTGGCTAAAGCATTCAGCTGTCCTGGTGCCTCAGTGGGCTCTGTCCCTTGGCTCTCCATCACCTCTCCTATCTGGAGCAATGCTGCTGCTTCTTCACATCCTGGGCCGCCTGGGTTTCAGCATGAGAAACGCAGCCATGCTCCACCATTCCCTAGGCTCTGACTTGTGGTTGCTCTATGTTAATAACATGCTGGAGCACCACTGGTGATGCTTGTCTGTAGGAGAAAATCTCCCCTTTCCAAATTGTAGCTTTAATAACCGAGGCTCAGTGTGTTTCTGCTTCTGAAATTTAAATTGAAGTTAATTTTAATAAAATTGGCTTTTTAGCAATCAATCTGCTGTAGATCCAAGCCAAACTTTTATGCTGTAAATTGAATATCGCTTTGGCACTGGTGCTCTGTTCTTGGCTCCGCTCTTCCAGTGTTCCCTATGCTTGTCACTGGGAGGAGTTTGGCCCTGTGTCAGATGTCCCACCTTCAGCCCTGGACTGACCCTTGGGCCGGGCGTGGCGTCCACTCCTCTGCAGTGGTAGGGGAGGTGGGTAGCTGTGAGCACAGGTAATGGGGGTGGGGATGGAGCTGGAGTCACCACCCTGCAGCTCCATGTGATCGTGTCTAGTGTAAATCTCTGGGAAATGGGAACAGAAAAGTCTGTGCTGAGTGGCAGTTCCCAGCAGTGCAGGATGGCGTGGCAGCATCAGCTGTGCCTCCCTGGGCATACCCAGGTGTTTTAGGGAAGCATGTTCTGCTTTGTCCACTTCCCAGGTTTCAGTGTCTGGTGTTTTCTCTGGCTGCCTGGACAGGTGCTGGGCACTTGAAAACCATCCAGACAGTTGCTCCTGTGGGGTGTCTGTCCTGTGCTGGGGCACAGGGAGCTGTGCTGCAGGTCTGGCACGTGCCAGGCTACCGGGCCTGTGGGTTCTTGTGCTGCATGTGCTGCCAGGCACTGGCACTGCTGCTCGGGGCAGGGGCTTGGGGGTGTCAGTTCCAGCAGTGGCATTAGGGCTGTGGGGCTGGCTGGGGACTGCCCTGGATTAGTCCTAGAGCAGCAGAGGACTGACTTTATCGTCTTGGATCTCCTACTGCAGAGGTACAGTTGGGGGATGCTCACCTGGTTGGGCATGTTTCTGTGTTCTCTCTGCTGATCTCTGTGAGCAGCTGCAGGATGAGGTGCTCTGTAGCCCGGGAAACACGGTGTAGAGCTTTCAGTAAACAAACCGTTGCTGGCACGACTGCACCTGAGCACAGCTCTGCTGGGAAAGCAGTGTCAGACCAGTTCCATCCACAGCATCTTAAACATTCAGCCTCTTTGCCCTGATCCAGACACGAAGGGTACAGTCAGCTGGAAGCTTTATTTCTGGTTGCTGGTGAACAGCAGGAGAAGGAGCTGCAAGACAACAAGTTAATCAGTCCTCTAAAGTGTATTTCTCTGGGAAGCTGTGCCAGCTCCACTGACGTTCAAGGACACACCAGGCCATGGGAGGTTTTGCATGAATTTTCTTGCAGCCCTGCTGGTTTTATTTTAACGCTTTTGATTCATCTGGAAGAAGCTTGGGACTGAAATTTCTCCCCCGTGCTTTGTTTTGCTTCCCTTATCACATGCATCTCTGCTATTTAATCTCCTTGTTTAGGTGGCACCAACTGTGCCTGGTTAGATGAGTGTCCTGACAGAAGCAAAGCATGTTCTCCACAGGCAAATAGGCACTTCCAGGTAGTTCCCTGACCCCTAGGTAGGTCTAGGGAGGGCAAGAGAGAAACCTCCTACTCACTGCGTGTCTGGTCCCAGGGATGGGATTGGAGGTCTCTTCCAACCAGTTAATTCTATGATTCTGTGATGTGTCCGGCCCCAGGGGTGTGTCTGGACATTCTGGTGCTGGGAGGGCAGGCTTGGCCTCTCCTTGGAGCAGCAGCAGCAGCAGCACTGGCATCAGTGGAGCTGCAGTGGGGTAACCTTTAATGCAAACGAGAGGAAATCTTGCCTGCTGCAAATGATTCTGCATAATGGAGCAAGTATTTTGTTGTCTTTTACCCCAATGGCTCCACTGTCACAGTCATTACTCTGGATGTACCCTGGGGCCACAGAGAAGCTGGCTTCATTCTCGCTGTAGCTTTGCAGTGTGATTTACATCTCATGAGAGAACAGGACGGGCTTTTCAAACGGGCTGGAATTCTGAGACAGCTCCAGTGTCCGAGACATCAATTTAAAATGAGAACAAAAGTAGGGGGACAGATGTCCTCTTAAAATCATTTTTCAGCTTCATTTAAGCCTTTCATTGCAGCTGCCCTACTAGTTCAGGCCCCTCACTGGATCCTCTGTGGCTCAGTGTACCCTCCCTCTACACACACGTGAGACCCTTGTGCCCTGTGGTGCCACCGTGCAGGATGGAGACCCTGGAACACAGGCTCTGGGAGGGGGCTGGCAGGAGTGCAGTGGATGAGACGTGGCTTCCAGCAGGCAGGAGAGGGTCCCACTGGCGGATCTGCCGTTGGAGGTGGCAGTGGCTCCCTTCATTGTCACTCCAGCTCTGTCACTGCCGGAGCAGCAGCTGAGGCGTGGATATGAAGTTGCTGTGCACCTGGCAGTACCTGGTTCCCAGTGAAATGAGTCTTACCAAGGGCCCTGATGTGTCCTTTTGTCACTGAGGATGCTCGGCGCACACCCAACTAACCTCTTTTTTCCTTGTTTTTGTACCTAACAGAAGAAAATTGACTGTCCTCGAATTGTACCTGCCCCTTTGGAGCCAATGCCCACAGGAGTATCTCGGGACATCACGATCTCACTGGCCAATGCAACTTTCTCTAAGGTAAAGGAGTTCCTGGAGGGATTGGGCAGGTTCAGATGTTTGGGAGAAATAAAACTCCCAGTTCCCTTGTGGGTGTTTGCTCCACTGGCACCACGTGCCAGCCCTGCCCCAGAGCCCACAGTGAGGAATGAAGGACACAGCCCCAGGCTGGGCGCAGGGAGGCTGTGCTGGTGGAGCCACAAGGTTGAGTAAGCACAGAAACATGGTTTAACGTAACTTCAGGTCATCAGTGCGGAGCTTGTTTGGTGTGAAAAAGTGCTTTCTCTGAAATTCTCTGACATGCGAGATGTAACAGTGAGAAGCAGGAGTGGACATCGAATGGTGCCTTCTGAGGCGCACTGCACACCAGAAGGAACCAGAGGAATTTGGGACAGAGAGGCTGGTTAGTGGGAAAATGCTTGAGTAAGCACTGGTATTTGTAGAAATCTGCCCTGAGTCATTTTGGGTCAGTTCAGCAGGGCCCATGGGGCTGGGTTTGCTGTGCCTCTGTGGATGATTCCAGCACACTGGGCAGCCAGGCAGCTTCTTGTTCTGCAGGGGAGGAGAGTTTTGGAAGTACTGGTGGAGCTGTTCTGGGGTGCCAGGGTACCGAGGGCTGCAGCCAGGGGCTGTGGAGGCACCGCTCCCACCACACCTCCTGCCCTTGGTGCGGGGGCAGAGTGGACCCTCCCACCATGATGGGGTGGTCTTTTCCTGCACAACTCTGGCCTCTGGGAACGAGGATGTGCCATCCACAATCAGCAAAATAGAGCCAGAAATCCTTCTTCCTCTGCGGATGCTGGAGGTGGCTGAGGAGGAAGCAATACCGCATGGAACCCATAGGAAATGGAGTCAGCAGGAAAGGGGCCACACCACCTCTGCTCTGGGGCAACTGGGGGGGCTCTGGCACTCTGACTTCCTTCTGCCACCTTCCGCTCCCTATCCTGGAATGCCAGCTGGGATTCCTTCTCCTTCCCTCCACAGGAGCTCACGAGTGCTGCTGGAGCTGGGAGCTTTGGAGATGTGGCTTTTCTGCAGCGGAGGCACTCCCTGGCAGGGGCACGAGGCCGGGGGTACGGGCAGCCTGCAGAGCCAGAACTGCCTGGGTGCAGGCCATGCACTGCCTCTGTGTTTGCTGAGCCAGCAGCTCTCTGTCTGGAGTCTGGTGCTTCCTTTCATGTCTTTTATCAGATGTGCCAGTTTTCAAAGAGTAGTTAGACCTCAGTAGTGGTGGAGCA